TACCCTCCAGAACCTGTGAGTAATATACCTCATTTGTTCAAAGTTCCCTGACGGTTGTTGCTGAGGTTCATCTTGCAGTTATAACAAGAACCACAAGGGCCGGACCAGCCACATCACTGGCTCCTCCTTCCACAATCTTGGAAATGTCTGTGGGGCTCACACAAGTAGCACCAGCCCAGGGGAGTGTCGCCAGCATTCCTAGCCAACAGCACCACTATGGATGGGCTGAGACACAACACATACCTCCACCAAACAAATATTTCAATTTCAGAGTGAAAGTAGGTTCATACTTGTGTTTGAAGAGACACAGAGACAAGAATAGAGGAAAGAAGGGGAACTGAAACACACAAATCCCCTACACGTGTGACAAGTCCAAGAATCATTTCCTTTGTCTCATAATAGCAATTGTATATTCAGGTAACCTCAAAATGAAAAGTTTTCCTGACATACACCACAGACAGCACTCCACTTTGGTGAGCAGATGGTGGGGTCTTATTCAATGAACGCTGTTAGAATAATTTGAGATTCATGCAGGCAAAAGACAAATTAGATTCCTTCCTTACACCATAACACTCAAAATTTCAAATGAAGAGAGTTACACAAGCCATAAAAGAATAAGGAAATAAAAGAAAGTGTACTTAAGATTTTGAGGTCTCTAGGTCTTTTTAAGCAAAACATAAAATCAGGGACAAGATTGGCATATTTTATGCATAAAAGTTTAAATCTCCTATAAGAGAAAACCCATCATAAACAAAGCTAAACATACGTACTCAGTGGAAAGAAACATACATGACAAAGAATGCACATCAGTAACTTAAATATGCACTTACAAATCAATAAAAAAGACTAACAAGTCAACTCAGTAGTGGGCAAGTAATATGAAAGGGCAATTCATAGAAACCATGCAAATAACCAATATGAAAATATGTTCAATTTTAATAGTCAGGTAAATGAAAATTGGAAACTATTAAACGACTTACACTATTTAGTGCAAGAATACGAGGAAACAGGTGCTCCCATACCTTGCTGTTGGGATTGACTTGAAATAACTTTTTTGGAACATGATTTAGCAGCATCTACCGAAACTTAAAATGGGTGATCCCTTTCACCTAACAATTTTACACCTAGGAATCTCTCTCACATATACAAAGGTGCGCTGTGCTTGGTTGGGCCTGTTACTTCACCTCTCTGGGACTCATTGCTCATTGGTAAAATGTTTGTTATCATAGTAGGTACCTCATTTGGTTGTTAACTTTAAATGAGATAAATTAGCACATGGCCTGATACTCAATAAATTTCAATAAATGTCATATATTGATATTACTATTATCACTACCATTTTATTGAGCCATCTTTATGTAACTATAAATAATTATAAATTGCAAACAAAATGTCCATCTATGGAGAAGTATATACTACAAAACAGCATGCACACATATGTACACACACACATGATCCAAGCTGGGCAAGCAAAATCATATAAAATATGTATAGATTATTTCCATTTATTTAACAATCTGTGGGTGTATGGGGGGTGTGTGTGTGTGTGTAAAGGGAAAGAGAAAGAGTGAATTGGTGTTAATAAAGGGCTACAAAGATACCAGCTGCTATTAATGCCTGAAGTATTAGAACAGAGGGAGAAAGTGAAGAGAAACATACTTTTTAACCCTGTCATTCTGTACTTTTTGAATGTTGACCTTTTTGAACAGCTGCTGGAAGCTGCCATGCTCCCTCCAAACCAGTGAATTGACTCATCGGAAACCCCAACAGCTGGACCACATGACCTCAGTCAATTCTACCCAATTTGCTCTAGTTTTCCAGATTAGAAGTGATAGAAGATAATTTGTAACCTAGATTTTGCACACCATCTAGGATGATAAGAGATTTACAGCTAAATTTTTAAATGAGGACTTGAGATGAGCTTAAGTTTTTTTTGGAAAATTATCTTATTGCCAAAAATGGCAGATTAGTGAGGCATTTCTGAACAAAACTATTTCACCATATTCTGATTAAGGGACTCTTCATTTGATAAACCTATAAAACTTGTATATTCTTCAGTTAATACTATACAAATTATAAATAATATGCTGACAGGGGCTGCCTGGTGGCACAGCAGTGGTTAAGTTTGCACATTCCTCTTCGGCCGCCCGGGGTTTGATGTTTCGGATCCCGGGTGCAGACATGGCACCGCTTGGCAAGCCATGCTGTGGTAGGTGTCCCATGTATGAAGTAGAGGAAGATGGGCACGAATGTTAGCTCAGGGCCAGTCTCCCTCAACAAAAAGAGGAAGTTGGGCAGTAGATGTTAGCTCAGGGCTAATCTTCCTCAAAAACAGGGAAAAATAACAATAATAATATGCTGACAAAATAGAATTCTCTAAAAGGATCTCCTGTTGTAAAGATGGTGGTCACATCCCCTCAGTCCTGGGACTCCTGTCAGTGGATCAAAGCCCCTCACCTCCTTCCCAAGAAGCACTGCCAGGGGGCCTGGCTGGCTGGAAAATATTTGAAATACTCACAGCCTTCAGGGTACCACATGTATCCCAAAAGACATCAATTTATAGATAGCTCCTTTCCACTGTTCTATGAAATCCACCTACACCCTTCTACTTCTAGATAAGAAAAATAGCTAAATATAAGCAATCTTTTAGATAAAAATAGAAAATACACAGGGAAAGAAAATTTTACCAAAACAACTCTCCATGATATGAAATTCTACCCAAGAAATAAGTGGGTACGGTATGACTTCAGAAATTTCACCTGGCACAATATAGTTGTTATAAAACCATTAAAAGCAAATTGTCATTAATAACAACTAGCTATTATTTATATTCCAAGCTCTGTGTTGCACAAAGATGTCATCTCATTTGCAACTCAGACCACCTCTTAACCCATTTTACAGATGAGGACTCTGAAGCTTAAGAAAATGAAGTACTTTTCCCTAAATACAGCAGAGGTCTCACTCCCAGGCCCCAGTTTTTAACCATTACGCCTGTCATCATTCCACCCCTGAAAGTGGCTGACAAGACAATTTAAAAATATCTGTTATCAGAATCTAATCATCACATCCTAAAGTATTGTTTATAATTTTTCATTTTGTTAGTATTTGTCAAGAAATAAATCCATGTACTTTTTACCCCAAAGAAATATTTATAGCTTTAAATTAATCCATTTCATTCACTACAAGACCAGAATTGGCACTAAAAGAACTCAGTCTTAATTCCACAAAACTTTAAAATAAATGTGGTAATGACTTTTTTCTTCTTTTAATGTTTACCCAACCTTTTTTTTTTTTTTGGCTGAAGAAAATTGGCCCTGAGCTAACAACTGTGCCAACCTTCCTCTACTTTATATGTAGGGCACCACCACAGCCTGGCCAACGAGTGGTGTAGGTCCCTGCCCAGGATCTGAATCCATGAACCCAGGCCACCAAAGCAGAGCACACCAAACTGTAACCGCTATGCCACAGGGCCAGCCCCAAAGAACATATTTTAAAGTAAGGAAACTCAATGAGTGTTTACAAAGTATATACGCACCGAAAGTTAATTACAGAAAATATTTAAAAAACACTTTTTCAAAAACTATCTGAATGCATTTACTTAATGCAGATAACTCCATAAGTATAATAAATAATTTGGAATTCTCCAAGCCCGAAATGCTTCATACCTATGAATGTGTACAACCTGTAAAATAATGAACATTTTCACAAAACAATTTTTAAAAGACTTTTTGCTGGCTCTGCTCATAACTAACTTTTGCTACCTATCACATCGTTAGTTCATACTATTACTACAGACAGTATCAACTCTTTAGCAAAGAAAAAAAATCTATCCTGAAATTCTGAACTTTCTGAAATTTTAATTTTCATTAAAAGATGTAATACATTTTTAAAGCTACAAAATCAGTTTCTATAAAAATTATCTCATATATGTTGATTTTGGAATTGAAATAAAAAAGTAATAGATTTTAGAGCAAATGCTTATGCATACAAGTCACAAATAAAGTCGCAGCTTTGAAAAAATTAATATTTGATGCTCAAAAATTACATTTTCCCAGCTGAAAACTTAGTCATTTTTTCTTCTCGAGTACACTTAACGTAAATTAATCCTTCCATTTCCTCAGTTCTTAAGATTAATTCCTGTTGAGTTTCAATAAAGTTCAGTTAAAGTTTAACTCAATAAAACCAGCTTCTGAACACATTAATTTAGCCAAAAACCTATTTTAGTCAACGGATGATTACATTGTAAATCATTCAGGCAAATTATAATTACTTTCTGTCATGCATACTTCTGAAAAACAGGAGCATATATGTTTTTCACAATCTTGAATATATTCCTAAGGGGGGGTGGTGTCTGAGTGTGGTTTATTTACCAAAAAAAAGCAAAGACTAGAAGTGTTAACAATACTACTAAATTAAAATCTTTTAACATAGTTGCTAACTAACGATGTCCGTTTATTGCATATCATTAGATTCAGTCCAACAGAAACACCTATTACTCCGGACTTTACTACTGTTATCTGTCTTACGCTCCACACTATGTAAGTGATTGGATAGATCAACTGGATGGCTATAAAATAATATATGCTTAAAAAACACACACCAAATGTCTTCCTACTTCATACTATGTAAATACCAAGTTTTCATTTGTATAAACGTAAACCTCTGATGTTCATTTTGATTAGAAACAGAGGGAGGATGTTGGAAATCTCACTTCTTCAGTTGCGTGGAACATGGCACTGGTCAGACGTCATCTCCCTCTGCGCCCTGAGGTTTCCCTATTGCAGCGCTTCTAAAAGCGGGTAGAACAACTATCCGGCCTGCAGCAGACTGCCGAGCACCTTGCTAAAAATGCGGACTTGTCAGCCCCATAGCCACCGATGCAAAATCTCTGCGGGAGGGACTCCAGGGTCCTGAGATGACTTAGAAAAGCTGTGGGCTGAAAAACCACGCTTCTACAGTCATTATCCTCAAAGGAAAACCACAAGGTGTTAAGTGGATTTAAGAATAATTTTTAATTTTCAAATTGTACACACTACATTAAAAAATATAGGGACAGGGCACTATCATAAATCAAGAAATAACATGTACTTTTACCGCCATCTCAATCTTGCATTATATATCATTTTAGTAAAGCAGAATAACATGGTAAGAGTATATAATAACATAGAACAAAATGCTGTAGTTAAGAATTTTCCAGCAAAACCAAAATATATTAATTACAGTTTTAGTCTAAGGGCATGAGAGTCAATATAAAGGTGAGTTGTTAATATGACTGGAAACTACAGGTGTCAAAAAAACTTAGTACTTTTTAAGCACTTAAAATGACATCGATATCGATCTTCATCTATCAGATCACAGGCATATTAATCAGGTAAAAACAATCCCAGTGCCTCACTTCAAAGCCAAACTCGAATGAATTAGAGCAAAAGGCCTTCTATTAGTAAAATATCTATGAAACCAAACATTTAAAAACAGAAACACTAAAACATCAAAGTTAATATCACCAGTAAATGGAACAAATCAATATTCCTGCCAGAGGGTGCATAAATTTAATCATGAAGAAACATCAAACGAAACCAAATTGAGAGACTGTCTGCAAAATAACTGGCCTGTACTGGTGAAAGAAAATGTCAAAGTCATGAAGCACGAAGAAAAACCAAGAAACTGTTTCAGACTAAAAGAGATGACAAGTAAAGGTGATGCCTGACTCTGGATGGATCTTGACCCACAACACATACGTGTTCAGAACATCCATGATGATTTGAATAAGGTCTGTAGTTTAGCTGAAGGTGTTCTATCAGTGCTAATTTCCTGATTTTCGTCATTGTATTGGGGTTATGTAAGAGAACATCCTTGTTCTTAGGAAATACACACTGAAGTAATTAGGGGTTAATGTTTTCAACTTATTCACAAATGGTTCACAAAATATTATGAATATATAGAGAATGCTAGAGAAAATGGTACAAAATGTTAACAAGTGGGGAATTCAAGTGAAGACTTTCTAGAATTCTTGCAGCTTTCCTGAAAGTCTGAAATTATTTCAAAACAAAAAGTAATATAAATACTTTTAAAAGCTTAGCAGAAACATAAAAAGAAAATCTAAAACTTTTAGAATACATTTTTAAGCTTCATATCTCAAGGAACTACTTATGTCTATTTAAGATGTTTTGTAAATTTAGACTAAAAATATGAACAAATTAAATTTTCAATTCCACTTACTGTCTTCACACTAGAAATTACAAAACTGTATTGTTCTTTTTATTCCATCAATTACATGTATATTCCAGATCTATATATAGGTTAATAGAAAATACCTCTACATTTTACACATTCCTTTGAAAAATATTTTGAATGTTGCTTCTTGTATTTTTCCTTCAGTATTGTGCCTTAATGATTTATTTTATCAGTTTCATATTTCTAATTGATTTTGTTTGTCTGAAAGTAGTTTTAGCATTTAGCAGTGCGCTGATATGCTTATACACACATAAGTAACAAAGAACCCTGCCTCATCAGATTACCAACGCACAATGTTTTGTCAAAGCACAGATAATTATTTCGCAATGTGATTCCCTAACCAATGTAACCTAGCAATTGTGTCAGAGGTTTCCTGTGTAGGGGAGAGACAGAGATGATTGGAGGAATATGTTAATTTCCTACAACAGTACCTGGCACACAGTAGACATATATTTGGGGGGAGGAAAAAAAGGATGATTGCATGATTCCATATCACTTGCAATGTATCACTAGAAACCATGAGACAGTGGCATAATAATCAGATGCTTAAAAATCTAAAGATGCAAAAATAATGCTTCTGAGAACCTACAGATGCAAGTAACAAAAGCTTTTGGTGAAAATGACTTTTTTATATTTATTTGGGCATGCTTTTTTAATTAAGTTTTAACTATCAGGGATGTTGCTGTATTATTATCAAATTAAGACTGTGAAAAGTAAAAATAAAAAAAAATGCATGGTGTACATATTGTGTACTATATTGAGCTATAATGCTATGAAACATTTAAAACCAGAATTTTAAGGAATGTCACCAAATCCAATCGAAAGTTGCTAGCATCAACTTTCTTGATACATGTCTTTGAAATGCCAGAGTCTACAGGATTGAATTCAAGTTCTATTTGATGCAAGCCCTGACTCACCTACTGAGAGGAAAGACAGAGTGACTTGGGAAGAAATGCAAAAGATGCAGTCAAAGGGCACAGCACAGAGGACTTTCAAACACTCTCTCCTTTTAAAATCAAACCACCATTTAAGCACTTTATTCTCTACACAAGGACGGTTTAGAATTAGTTGAAATAGAAGATCCTGAAAATAAAGTGAATCTCCAGTTTAGGCGTACTTTGAGTATATTAATATAGGTCACTGAATAGTCTGATGCATTTTCGTTTTTATTAAAGTTAATCACAATTCCTACTTCGAGATATTCCACAACTTAGGGGAAAAAGGAGGGTTACAGATGCTGGAAGGGAGCGCAAGTTGAACTAATGCAAATTTCAGGAACAGGATTTAAAATATTTTTTATAAGACAGGCATCTAACAAGATAAATATGTGAACTTCTCACACTATGTTTGCAAAGGGAAAGGCTTCCTGAAAATTTCTTCCATACAAAAATGCAAGACGAAAATGGATCAAGCCGTGTAAGCGCAGATGAACATCAGCCTTTGAGAATTAGTAACCTAATACAGATGGCTCGCTAAAACATTCAGCTGCAGAGGAAATATTAAAATGTAATGTAATAAAAGAAATAGCACCTTTTAAAAGTCAAGTGATCTAAAAAGAAAGTGTGCAAAACTACTCTGAACTACAAATATCCACATGAAATAAGTTGAAAAGGAGGTGGTAACACAGAACAAGCAATTCTGAAAAGTGTAACGTTCCATGGTGACTGTAAATGCAAACAATACCGAACGTGTAAAGCCAAAATTACAGCCATATATGTATAGCAGGCACAAAGTTCCTTTTCTTTTAAAGTCACATATTTCACATTCTCTCTAAACTGGATCAGTCAAGCAGCATACCTTAATATAAGCAGGAAAATTTCTAAAGCACCTACTTAAGAAAGAAAGCAGAAAAATGCCTTCATTGCATCTTTCATTAAACATGTGGACAGGAGCTCTGCTATTCAATGGAATTCAGAATAAAATGAATCTGTTTCAGATAATATCCCAAAAGCTTTAGTTACCTAGGTACCACAATGGGATTATCATAACATGATTTCTATTGAATTTTTCCATGGTACAGAGCAGCCTTTCTCAGCCAGAGTTCTGAATATAACATTATGATCAGATCCAATGTTATTTTTTTTTTACAAGGGAGGCAAAGGATATACTTATATTTTTTCTAATCTCTGAAACTCCTTCCTGTTGAAAAGGTTGTCCTTGAGTGGTTAATTCAAATAAAAATAAATTTGCTTAGGGGTATAGGTAATTTCAATGGCCTAGACATATGCTCAAAGAATATTTTACAATTCTGACATCTACTTGAATATTTTTGGTTTTTTATATGGCTACCTTACCTATATCAAAAGTGTTACCATAGCAAATTATGTCCATGCTTCCAAATTTATTAATCAAAAATGCTGCCTTATAACTTGAAAGAAATAGATCTTGGGTTCAAGAAATACCAATACATTATTAACAAGTTATCATAACTCTGTATTTACCTTCATTTATAAATACCACATAAATATCACTGGCAGGGATCATAATGTGAAATCATTAAACTAATTTCTAAATATTGATTTAAAAAGCTAGCGCATTCGCTGCAAAAGAATTTAGTGAAACTAAAAAAAACAAAAGTTTTCTTCCAAGTGATCTACCCAATTATTTTCTTAATGATCCTCATCTACCCAGGAGTTGATAATAAATACTTGCACAGTTCTTGTAGAAAACAGACCTAGTACAATGCAAAGACAAATATTGGCAAATACCATGTGTCTCAAGTTATATTTTAAGAAATAATACAATCCGTCATATTTCATGAAGTTGTTTATTCTTGTTATTAAAACTTGGACTCAAGTGATCCTGATTGTTCTGGAAAAAGCACCGTGTTTGTAGGGATCATTTAATCATCCTTTTCTACAATCACCTCTCCGTGAAGCACCTTTCTTCTTTGACGTAACATATGAAAATAGAGTTGTGGAAACACTTAACGGAAAAAAGAAAACAAAGAAAGATGAGTTATTGTTGGAAATTACTTACATTCAAAATCTCTTAAATGTGGCAAACTCTGAGAGCGAGCACATCATATACCACCACCATCCCCAAATATTTACAGAGCCCAGGGTAGGAGTACAAATGGAAGCCCATATACCATATACCTAAATATTTTAATGCCATAAACTGGTGGGGATTTTTTTTAGCAAACTTAAATATCTTGATAAATATACCTTCGTAATGACCTGGAAGGTCATGTTTGAATTCATAATTCTGCAACGCTTTGGAATACTGTGCCAGAACGTTCTAACACAAGGAAAGCTGCCCAGCCTGGCCCCTTCTCTCTGTTCTATCTGCCGTACTGTCCCATGAGTGGTCTCATGAACATACGTGGGGACACCCAAGCCCACACAACCCAGCTTCATCCACATGCCTCACAAATGGCTGCCCTTTGATCTCAGGGATGTGTACACTGGTGACATGGTTAACCCTCAGGAGAACAGATTGGGGAAGACAACTCTGCAGTCCCTAGATGCACCCATGCACCATTTGGGTAGCAAATTCCATGGCCCCAGGTTTCCAGAGTGTCATCTAGAAGGGAAGGGGGCCTGTGTGGAGGGTGATCAATGGAGGGCCAGAACAGGGCCCTCTAACACAGGACCCAGAGAAGCCCCTCTTGACTGGGTAAAAGGATAGTCTGTTACATATAAACACATAAATGTGTAGGTATTAGGTCAGTTAGACAAATGGTTTTCTGCTCTGTCAAATTTGGAGAATTATTTTGACCCAATTTGAACAAGTGCTTTAAATTATAGTGTAAATGTTGGTTGATGAATAAATTAACGTCAGCTATAAATAATATAAATGTAAAAAATCTCTCTGAAAATGATGAACAGAACAACCAAAATCAATGAACCTAATGACAAAACAAGCATTGACTATCTTGCTTGGGCAACTCTGGATAAGTCTTTCTAGAACTTAGCTCAAATGGAGCAAAAATGCACAGGAGATCTTGTTTTTTTAAATTTAGGTACTACCCATCTTGATAAATGTAACCACCACATGATACCTAGGGGCCTAAATATACTCAGCTCATATATACTTAAAGCTAGCTGACCGATTATTGTAAATACTTGTATAATATTCTGGGTAATTTAGTAGAAGTATGGGCTTGAGTTCAAATCCTGACCTTACTTATCAGCTGGGTGATTTTTAAGCAATTCACTTAACCTCTCTAATCTGTAATGTCCTCATTGATAAATGAGAACGAACAGCACTTCTTCTGAGTATTAAAATAAGTACTCAAAAATACGTATAATTAGCAAAGGATTTAATAAGCAAAGTAAAATTAGTTGTTATTACTGCTACTACTAACAATCAAGTGGAAAACATCCCCCTAGCTGACTTTCCTCCAGCAAGTGAGGCTCTCAGGTGACTGCCAGCCTGGTGAACTGAGAAGCTGCTACTGGCATAGGTAGAGTCTCCCAGGACACCTGAAAACACACAGTCAAAAGTTACTGGTTTGATGGTTTCAAACCATGATCTGCTGGGCCCTGGGTTTCCGTGGAGATGCCTCAATGGTCATGAGGAAGAGGGGGACCCAAGACCGGAACCTGCAACTATGATATGACAGACGCTGAAGCAAGGTCTGCCACTGCTCAAGGCATGTTGCCATTCACTAGATGCTGGGATACGCGGAGCGTATAAACAAGTGCAGTAGGTACACCACTCCTTAACCCTCCTGCACTGGTTCCAGGGGATAATCGGAGTAGTCAGGCTGAAAGGGTAGAAGATGAGAGGAATAAAATCACTATTTGATGGTCAAGTCAACTTTCATTTTGGAGAAGCTTAAAAGTCGGAGGCCTCAGGGCCACCCAGTGGCGCAGCGGTTAAGTTAGCGTGCTCGGCTTCGGCAGCCCAGGCTTCATCAGTTCAGATCCTGGGCATGGACCTACACACTGCTCATCAAGCCATGCTGTTCAGGCATCCCACATATAAAATGAGGAAGATGGGCAGAGACGTTAGCTCAGGGCTCATCTTCCTTGAAGCAAAAACAAAAGTTGGAGGCCTCAAGGGGCTGGTCAAGTTTTATGCTCATCCCCTTTAGATGAAATAGTTTATATGATGTCAAATGCAGATTTCACATTCTATAAACTTTTCTGATTTCCTTTTTTCCCCCACTGACATCAGAGTCTCTAATTTTACTGAGAAGGGTCAACAACAGCCTTACTTGACCTTGATATTTCCTGCTAGTGACTACCAAAATTTGACCTAAAAATATATCACTATTAGGGTCTAAACGAAGTGAGTAAAGCCTCATCAATTCACTGCAACTACTGAAAGATGAGGAGAAATCAGGGAAGAGGCGGAACTATTCAAAATATTTAAAGAAAACCAGCTTCATTATTTCCTAGTACACAGAACAATACACACAGACTAAAAAGTACTCTAGATGATTTTTCCAAATATATGCTTAATGAATAGATAGAAATGACCTGAAATTTTCTTGGATAAAATGTTTATATTCAGATCCATAATTCTAAATGCTTGCAAATAGTTCACTGATGCATGCTTTATTTTTCCTTTAAGAAATAAATCACACCAAACTTATTTTTAAGTGATTTTGAGAAGGCAATCTTCTGTGTATTAATTTACTTACCTCTTTTCTCATAACTAAGAAAAAAGTCTTTTTTGACTCACTCTTCAATTATTTCAAATTATGACTACATGAGGGATTGAATGCAGGTTCTGATGTCTCTGTAAGCTGTATTTCTCCTTGCTTATTAAACCAGCTATTACACTATCTTCCCAAAAACTTTCATAGCATACACTAAATCAAAGTATTAATAAATACACACTTACATGGTATATATGAGGCCATGGTTATAAGAAGAAAATAATAGTAGTCAAAAGAGACATTGTATTTATTAGGAAGTCTTATTGAAAACATTCCCGTTTTCTTCACATATGGTAAGGCAGCGTATATCGTAAGAAGTTCACCAGCAACTCCGACAGGATATAAGATGATAAAAAAAGTATATCTGGAGAAAGAAAAACCTCAGAGAATTATTTTTCTAGAATAACGACTGGATTTTATATCATGGTTCTTTTGCTACTACTGTATTTAAACTCAAAAATTCTCCTTCCTATACATATTTACAATAACCTCACATAAGGTGAATTTCTTTTTACTTCAATCATTTGCTTATTAATTTAATTATCATTCTTTTTTCTCATGGCAGTTTCTATTTTAAACAGCAAGATCTTAATAAAATAAATAGTCAATTTACTTTATAGAACTGAAATAACTGTATATATTTAAGAAGTGTATATGCAGTTTTTTAAGTACTGTAAAGTATGTAAGTATTGTTAATATTGCATTGTATTGTGAAGAATATGTAAGTATTGTAAGGTATTGTAAAGGAAACTTCTTTGACACCTGGAATCATAACTGATTTTTTTCCCTGCAGCTCATCACTGATTGATCAAATGCTGAGGTTTCAAAGACCAGTGATGATCCTATATTATATTTAAATCTTGAAATTACCACAGTAGTTGTCTGGGGGGCGTCTGGAAAACCCTTTGTGGTTACTAATTAAAAGAGAATTACTATTTCAGAAAACTGCTAATACTACCTAAGGCATCAGTAACTACTAATGAATATATCCTCTAAAACTGCTTTCATAACAAAACAAGTAAGACAAGTTGCTTCCCGAATTCCCACTTTAAAGGAACAGCTTGCTTTAAATAGAGCTGAGGAAGTTCTATTTGAAATCCAAAATCACAGTGTGTTCATTTGGATCGTGGCAAGTTCTCTAACACAGAGGAGGCCAGGCACCTACAGTTTCAGGAACACTCTGCAAGTGTCTACTGGTCTCCAGCAAGAAGAACCTCATCGACCCAAAGTAAGGACATTTCTCCATTAAAAAAAAATCATTTTTCTCCAAGTCATTTAGTACATAATGGTAACTACAGAAAATTAACGTCAAAATTTTGGTGGGAAAAGAAAGAAATCAAATTAATCCATATTTCATTTAATCACTTTGTTGGCATTATGAAATACTTGTAAAGAAAAGTTAAATTTGTTGATATGGCAGAAGCTTGGAGACAACTTAAAAATCACCTTATTCCTGTACGCCAAGGACACACAGGATAAGACATAGTGGAGGGGGACAGAATTATTTGCCAAAATAGATTAACTGGGAAAGAAAGAAAAATGATCCTTTTACTGTCCCTGTTTACCTCTCCTTGCCTTGGGTATATCACCTGCTTTCTTACCAGTCTTCTGTAGTTACTTGTATATCATTTAAATCAATCTTTCCTAATCTTAATTTCCTATCTCAGGGGGCCAGCCCCACAGCTGGGCAGCTCTGCTTTGGGGGCTGGGGTTCACTGGTTCAGAGCCTAGGCACAGACCTACGCACCACTCATCAAGCCACGCTGTGGCAACATCCCAAACAGAAGAACTAGAATGACCTACAACTAGGATATGCAACTAGGTACTGAGGCTTTGGGGAGGAAAAAAAAATAAGAGGAAGACTGGCAACAGATGTTAGCTCAGGGCCAATCTTCCCCACTAAAAAACATACCTTAAAAAAATTTTTCTATCTCAATTTAAAATCACATAACTGAACATTTTACACTCCCTCTTCAAGTAAAACATTCAAACTAATCTTAATGGTTTTTTAGCTTTCTATCACTCTCAGAGATTTTTTGGTAGCATTGTTTTTTAAAAGAAAAAAAAATACCACTCCTAGAATAAATTAGTTTAAAGCCTTAAAGACAGCGATTATTTTTAGTGAAACGGGAACGAATTATATAATTTATTTGACTGTATTTGCACTTTAAAAAGATTGCATGTCACTAACTCTGAGTTTTGTTGGCATTCACAAAAAGCTATAATATTTATGTTTCCCTAATCGTCACCTAAAATTTTTTTGAAGGGAATGCATTTTTGAAATTCAAATGGAAAGCAATATGAAAATATAACAACATACGATTACCTATCCAGTGGACTTTTCTAGGAACACTTCTAACATATAAATAGAATCAAAGGAAATTCAAATCGTCACAGGAGGCCAACTATTTATAAACAAGAAGCCATTTCTAAAGTGAAGTTTTATTTGAGAACAATAGCTTCAACATTTGAACATAAAGGTAAATATGATTTTATGTTATTTATTGGAGTTGGCAAATATATACAGACGGTTGGGATCTTTAAGATATTTGATGTGAAATATAATTATTCTTGATTATGATTAACTGCCATGATGTATAATGCTAACAAGTGCATTTCTAAGTTGAAAGATTTTATAATACTTGTTTAATTTTAAGGCAATGGACAAAAGATTTCTAAACAGCAAATTTTAAGCATGCAATGGCAGTTTTTAACTTTTCCAGAAATTCAAAACATGCAAACGCATTCCACAAGGCAGACAAAGCATTAACCACCATTATATTCCAAAACAAATTTTATAAATACAGCACATGTAAAGAGACTATATTATGAATTAGTATGTTTAAAGGTGCTAGAGTTCCAGAAGACTGAGGTCATGCAAAACGGCAGTGAGATGCACTCCAGGACCAGAGTCTAGCTACATTCCAAACCACCCACCTGGTGAAAGGCTCAATCACTAAGTGAGTATGTTTTCAGGTACAATAAGAATAAAACCAACCAAACACATATAAATGGCAGTGCACCCTGCTTATGACAGACTGTATGTTTAAGCTCAAATTATAATTTTAAGGCATTTTATTATACACAGAACGGTAAGCCATGAATGTCTAAAAAGGAGCTAGAGAATATAGAAAAGTCTTAAAGAATATATATCACAAGAGTAATAATCCTTGTGCAGATTATAAGCAATGTAAAAGGTTTTTTTCTTTTTGGTTTATTTATATATTTTATTATATTAGAAAGTATAATATATGACTTATAAAAAAGTAATCACATAAGAAAAAGTGTTAGGTTTTGAATATATGGGATCAAAAACAAATCTGACACTAGCTAAGGATTATCCTCAAACAAGTTAGGAATGTATGAACATAAAAATCCAGTTTAAAAAAGAGAAATATGGATATTGCATTGTTTATAACATCTAAAAGCATTAGTTATAACATTAGCAACTGGAAACTAACTCCCAGCGACAGAGAACTGATTCAGTCACACTATGGAATATGGTGCAGCATTAAGAGTTGAAGAGCTGGATCTAAATGTACTTGTACTGATGGAAAAAAAAAAAAAAAAAAGAGGGGCCAGCCCGGTGGTACAACGGCTAAGTTTGCACCTTCTGCTTTGGTGGCCCGGGGTTCGCCAGTTCAGATCCCAGGTGCGGACCTACACACCACTTGTTGAGCCAGGCTGTGGCAGGTGTCCCACATATAAAGTAGAGGAAGATGGTCACAGATGTTAGCTCAGGGCCAGTCTTCCTCAGCAAAAAGAGGGGGATTGGCAGTAGATGTTAGTTCAGGGCTAATCTTCCTCAAAAAATTAAAAAAAAAAAAGAGAGCGCTCTAAGATAGAAACAAAAAGTATAATATCATCCATTTATGTCTTTAAAAACTCACATCCATGTGTTCACATGTTTGTTAATGTGAAAAACTCTGGCTGGTTAAACTCCAAACATTTTCCCTCCAGGATCAGGTAGGAGAACAAACAAGAACTTTCTGTGTTTATTCTATAGACTTCTGTACTGTTTGAGGTTTTCATAATGAAAACATACTATGTCCATAATTTAATGAAAAATTTAAGGAATGAAAACATTGTCGAGCCCTTTTATCCTACGTATATGGGACAGGCGTACACGGGGTAGACGTGTATGACACCGACGTATATGGGATGGATGTCTCCTACCCCAACCGTCTCCTTGCCCTTCTCACCACCTGGCATTTCGCATGCCTGTTAGTTTTTTTATCTTTTGTCTCCTCCATCTTGAGAGGACAGAGACTTTGTTGTGTTCATACCCGTGTCTCAGGTACACAGTAGGTGCACAGCGTATGTGATTGCTATTATTGTTATTGCAACTCTAAGTAGAGCAAAGAGAATGAAAGGAACGAATCTATGCTGGTCTGTGATTTGTTCTCTAAAGAGCAGTCTTGTTTCCATAATAAGTGCAAAACATCAGCTGCCCAAAGAACTCAAACTTCAAAAAGAATAGAGTACGGGGGGGTTTGGGGAGATAAAGCAGAAAAAAAAAAAGGAAGATTGGCAACAGTTGTCAGCCCAGGTGCCAATCCATAAAAAAAAAAAAAAGAATAGAATTTCTTTTGCTTTAAAACTTGTTGCTTTAGGATAGATATACGTAGAAACCTTGAAATATAAATTCTGTCCACATTCCAAATAATATTATTGCAAATAAGTACGACTTTTAAAAATGTCTGTCTCTGCTACTAACACACACAAGAAAAGTTAACACTGTACATATAAGATACAAAAAATTGTGGACCCTGGATTGAATATTAAAATAATTTAAATCAATCAGACACAATGCCATGTTTTTGGCACAGAATTTAATATAATTCCAAAAATGTCTAATTTGCTTTAAAGAAAAATAAATGACCAATTTAGAGATTAAGGATACTCATATATCTGTCTTGCCTTGATTTCACTAAAAATATGTAGTAATGTGATTCCTCTCTGATCATTAAATTAAGTCTCTAGAACGCAAGTTATAACACCGCTAAGAACCAAGACAACAGCAGCCTGGCATCACGGGGCTAAGACACAAATTTAATTCTCTGGTGTTAGCTCAGCACACAAAATCCGCATGCACAGGACCGTGAGAAACTAAACTGCAAGACATCGCCACCTGGCCCATTTAATGAAGTATGGCAAGTGGTCGAGAAGACTGAATGTGTAGAAGGAATAGCGAGTGATCTCTGTCACAGTCCACGCGACCAGAAAGAGCACCACACTCTCCTCATTCTGGATCTGCAGAATCACAGAGAAATCCACAGTGCTGACTGAGTTTACCATTAAACTTATTTTTCTGTGAAGATATGTTATTGTAACTATTTACTATGTGTCTTTACTATAATGAAATGTTGGGGTTAGCAGGTGCAATACAGAAAACAATGCAGTCACCATTATATAATTCATTATAAACACACAACTTAAATACGTCCTAAGCACAGGGATGGTCAGATTTCTACTGGTTTCTCAGTCTCACCCTTCACTCCAGTCAATAACTCAGCCATCCCAGGGCAACATCACCCCCTCGAAACCAGTACAGGAACAGTCCGACCCTCCGCCTTTCTATCAGTCATCAGAACACGCCCATTCTACTGTGGCACTAACTCTTGAATCTGCCCACTTGTTTGGGTCTACTCCCACTATTTAATTAACCATCTCTGATCTACACTACTGTAACAGCCTCCTAAATGGTCTCTCCATGCTTTATTCTCTTCACAGGTGGAAGTGTTCTCTTAAAAGCAAACCAAAGAAACAAACAGAAATCAAATTGGAAGCAGCCAATCCTGTGATTTAAGCGCTTCATTGGTTCCCCATCACTCAACAGGAGAAAAGGATAAAATCCTACCACCAGAGCATATGTATTCAGGGTTCTCTACAATCCACGCTCAGAAATCTCTCCAATTTCATCTACAATCACTTGTCCGTCCCCGTCAGCACCACCTCCCCGCCTCCCCCCCCCCCCACCCCGGTGACACTGAACTTCCCTTTATTTCTAGAAAATGCTCTGAATGCTTAGGTCTTTACATATGCTATTCCCTCTAATTAGAATGTTACTCCTTTATGACCTCCCACAGAAAACCCGTTCTCATCTTTTAAGATGCAGCTAAAAGATCACGCCTTCTGGAAAACTCTTCCCAAACCCATCCTCTCACTCTGAGCTGTTAATTGCTCATCTTCCTTGTTCTCACAGTACTTTGTTCATATCCGTATTACAACACTTGCCCATCTGTACTACAATTTCATATAAATAATTTAAAATAAATCCATTTCTATCTTCCTTCCTCAGGGGAGCCTTGCTTGACTCCCTAGGTCAGGCTAAGCCACCAGGCAGACTGCAATGCACACTGGTCTCTTGTTTCAGAGCACTAACACTAACATAAAATAACAATATTGGTGCAAACTCCTTGTTCAGCATCTCTGCCAACTGTAGGCTCCACAGGGCAGGAACCTTGGTTGTATTATTAAGAGCCAGATCCTCAGCACGGTGTTAGGCAGAGAACAAGTGTGCAATTAGTATCTGCTGTAAGACTCAACATCCGTGTGACTGCCCTCACTCCCCAACAGCCAGAACATTTGTAGCTGGGATGCCTTATTCATTTTTGTAAATCCAGAAATTAGCACAGTGCCAGGTGTATAGAACGCACTCAATAAAGCGTTGAATTAATTAACGAGTGGCGGACAGGCGTCAACAGGAAATCACCGTTGGAGAGAACCAATAAGAAGGCAGAGGCCCTCTGGAGGATAAAAGAGCAGATGGATCTCTCTCCTGTTGGGGACCAGCCACTCTCTAGCTTCTCTTAAATTCCTTTTCTTCAGTTATGTCTGGCCACCCTGCGTCTTTCTCGTTCCTCCGTCTTCAGATTCTCCATGGTCCTGGCCCAGCTACTATATTCATTCACTGTCTGGAATAGTCTCTTTTATTCTGTGAATGTTGGACTCCTGCTTTTAAACTCCTGGGCCATCTGAATAAAACACTTGGCCCTCCGCATGGCAGTGTCCACTGCTATCTGTAGGGCAGTCGCTGGTTAGAGACCAGGTGAATCAAGTAAGTTGAGTGAAAGATACTAGTCAAGAGGGCTAAAGTGTAGACTAGTAGAAGGGGCAGAAGGTCAGCAATCTGTCCCCACGCAGACGGGAGGCCAGCGAGTCTAGCAGGCAATGGAAGGGCGGTTAGGTATCGCTCCCAGCAGAGAGGAGACAAGAAGGCATCTGAGGAATGGAAAGGAGGCCAGAGATCTGTCCTCACCTAGACAGAAGCCCCCGGAGGCTGTCAAGAAGGTCAGAAGGGCCCATCTGGGAAATGCTTCTGTCATGGTTTTAAAAGGCCCAATGACTTGACAAACAAGCACGGTGTTTGTTTGTCTAAAAGAGTTTAAGCCATTAATTAGATTCAGGTCTATCTCCTGTCATGCCTCAATAAATAACATGTTTATTTTTCCCTACGTTCCTTAACCCTTCTAACTTTTAAATTCATCTTCCCATCTGTTCGGATCTACAGAACTACATTTACTTTTTATGTCTGTTGCTACAATACTTAGTGCGAAATGAGGAAGATTAAACTGTTTATACTGACAATTTCAATTACATAACCAAACAGAATACTCATAACTGCAACAAAAAAAATTTTCAGTTAACTATTTGACAGAATATGAATATTAATCTTAAAAATTGGAAAACACCAGAGGAGAGTATATTGTGGATGTTAAGTGCCAATATTTGGTTTTGTGTGTGTTTCAAAATCATTCTACTAATACATTAAGTCAATGTACAATCATACTTAAATCCAAACCCAACTCTTTTTATCCATGGTTATGCTTCCTGAAATACACCAATGTTAATATTTTCGGTTCCGATTAATAAAAAAGCTTTCCTGTGGGCTTGAGAACATGTTCGTGTCACTTACTGGTTTTATACTGTGAGTAACGAGCCACACCATAAAGATTCTTGAACTCACTTGGACCCCAGCCACGAGCACAGAAGTAGGCACAATTCCTTAAAGAGAAAAACAAGTCAACCATGGCCAGAAACACAATTTACACCAAGAATAAAAATTAAATCAAAAACTCACCAATTAAACAGTGGACTATCTGTAAGCAAACAGAAAAAAATCACAAGTCAATAGCGTACAACATAGAATAAATGCCTGTTAACATTGGTTTTAAATGAGTCTGTAGGTGGTATGTAATCAGCAAAATAAGACATTTTGCTCAACAAATAAATACTACAATGATAGAAAAACAGCATCATTGAAAACTTACCTCAAGTAAGGCAAATGTCTGGAAAAATTTAAGTGTCTTCTGAATACTTCTATATAAACCTTTGTGTGTTCCTTTTTCCATATAAAAACGTACCATAGCAATAGCTAGAACCAACCACCTGGAAAAAATAAAAGTATTTTATAAAGTTCTATCAAGATGAACACCACTAATCTTCCTGAAAAGAAATGCCATAATTTATATAGTAGTAACATGTATGTTTTATTATGCTCTCAGTTCCTAGTTCTGTTTTAAAAACCCACAGGAAGAAATGAAAACATTATTTTTACACTGACTTTTCAAGAAGATGAGCAGAACCTATTCGAGACCAACAACAAACAAATGTCAAACCATGTCTGTCCACCGCATTTTTGGTTTCAGCAGATAAACTGACAGACTGAAGAAATCATATTTATGTACCAAAAATGAAGTTATTACAATGCATTTCATAATTATGTAAAGATTTCTTAAGGTAAAAAGCTGTGTGTGTATAAATATGTACTTTATAGAAACACAGAGTATATAATTATACGTAATTACAAGTAAAAGTCTTTAATAAGAATCAATTAATATTTTTATAATTTTCACTAAATAAAAACAATTGTTGTGCCACAGAAGGAATGCATATAGAAGGTTAGACATGGGCCTGCTTTCAAAGAGCATGTTTTAGAAAAAGAAAAAATGCCTAAGCCCTCCCTTTTCAACATACACATGCACATTAAATACAGATTCTGTTGTGAGTTAACGGTACTTCAAATACAAGCCACCCCGTGGAGCCCAGCTTTCTCACCCCACCACTCAGTCTCCAAGAGTCACTGATGAGAGGTCATTTTTTTCCAGTTTCCCTCACAATTACAAAAGCACTTGTAAGTTTAAAAAGTTGTGTCATCTGTAACTTTTCAAAATCTTTAATAATACACCCATGGAAATGAGCAGCTACCTCAGACTTCGAAAATCAGTGGTCTCCGAAGTGTCTACTTAAATGGATGTATGAATTATAAAATGATGAAATGATGATACAGTTGTAAGTTGGGAGAGAACACTCATAAAATAGGCGAATGGCTCAAAGATTCCTGCAAAGAAACTACTGAATGAATATGACAGAAGTGAGAGCTCAGGAGAACAGGAAGAAAATGGCAGAACGACATGTCTGCTCTGGGAACGTCAGCTCCTCCTCAGCACATGATGAGGGGAAGACAATGACTTTCTCATGAGATGTGACAAGAAGTCAGGTGAATGTCTGAAACTAGGATGAAGACCTTTGAAATGTGGAAATAATCATGATAATAACAACAACGATAACAGTAAGTATACTTTCAGGTGCTTTCAATGTTCCAGACTCTGTTCTATATGCATATTTAATCTATTAAGATTTGATCTGCACATAACCCTATGAGGCAGCGACAACTGTTATCCAATCTTACTCTTGTGGAAAGAGGCAGAAAGAGCTCCATAGTCAGCTGGGACCTCAAACCATGACTGAGCTCAGAGTCTATGCTGTACTGGTCTGGCTCTAAGTATATATTGTGCCTTGGGATATTAACTAATCATAGTAATTCATGTATTCAAATTATAAGTAATTTTAAAAGTTATATAGTGTTACACACAAATATTTTAACTGACAGTAGTGTGTCATCAAAAAGTTTGCCAGCCACTGTTTTCTGTGAGACAATCACCATGCAGAGACATCCAGCCACTTATCCTAAGTCGTAGAGGAAGTTAATGATTGAAGTCTTCTAACGCCTACGGATGCTCCCTTTCCACCTCACCATGGCTTTCCTGGATTCAACTGATGGTGTCCTCCCGCACGAGAGCCAACACCAAATTCTGTGCTGGGCTAATGTGGCAGTGCTAATCTGGATAATGTTTTAGGTACCTTCCGGGTTTAAAATGTTATGATTTCATTATCCTCAATTCCAAGTCCCTATACTACTTCTAAGAAGAAAACAAAAAGCTTAATAAAATGTTTTAATTCACATTTTCCATTCACTTGCCTTTTTTTAAGGCAAATCCAAATCAGATTTTTACAAAAGATCAATTTGAGCGATAATTATTAACCTACCAAAGAATTCATCAAAGAATTCATTTAGAAGGCAAGTTTTCTACATTTTTAAATAGGAGTATATAAAAATCTATGCATCATAACATTTTAACAAATTGCACCCTTGATCCATAGGTGGCAGTATTGTACCAACTGGTACAGTGTTATGATACTATCAATCACCAGCTTGTTCGAAATTAACATTCTGGCGTTAGAAAGGACCATGCAACCACCCATGCTAAGGAATCATCCGTTTTTCAGTAAATATGAGCAGTAGCTAATCTGAATTAATCTGCGCTCACTTCCTAAACCCACCATCACAAGGGGTGACAAAGTTTCTCGTACAGGCTCTACGTAACTAACTGGATTTCCTACATCCATAAGTTTAGTAAAACTGTGATTTAAAAAAAGATCCCCAATGCAGTTGGAGCTTCTGCAATTAGGAATTCTTTTCCAGAAAGTTCTGCTTTTAAAAAATATGCCAGAGCTATTAATTATTCAAATATAAGCCCAGATACACGCAGTCCTTGATAAAATACTCTGTTTGGAAAATATAAACATGTGCTCCATATGTAGAAGATTGCTTGCTTAACTCATTTATTTATTCATTCACTGCCAGGTTCTGTGCTATATGCTGGGGAATTAGAAACAGGACAGAATCCTGGCCTCAAGGAACTCTTAAATTACTAAGTGGAGACAAGAGATATATGTCATAACTTACTAAACACAGGGGCCTTCTCCTCAGGCCCCTACGGCTCCGATGACACTGAAACTCTTATCAAAGGAGGGGATCTTTCTTCCAGCTGTCTACTGGTGCTTCTTTTTCTCCTAAGATTTCTTGGAGACCACCTGCTCCCTGAAGAACTTGGTTATATACCTCCTTTTATAAATTTCAATAGTGCTTTTTAAATTTTTATTATAAATAACTTCTTATATATACAAAGGTATAGAGAATGGTATAATGAATCCCCATGTGCCCATTACCCAGCTTCACCCATTATCATTTTATGGACAATCCTGTTTCATCCAAACCTCTATTCACTTCTTTTCCCACCACCTCCCGTCCCCTGATTATTTTGAATCAAATCTCATACATCCTATAACATGATTCATAAACGCTTAGTTATGTATCTCTAAAAGAATTACTTTTTAAAAAATTATTTTTTGAGGTCATAATAGTTTAGAACGCTGTAATTTCAGGTGTACATTATTATTTATCAGTTTCTGTATAGACTGCATTGTGCTCACCACCAACAATCTAATTTTTACCCGACACCATATATATGTGCCCCTTTACCCCATTCGCCCCCCGACCCCATCCCACAACCCCCTTCTGCTCTGGTAACCACTAATCTGTTCTCTAAAAGGATTACTTTTAATAAATATAACCGTAATACCACTATCCCATAAAAAATGTAACAGTAACTTCTTAAATCACAAAACATGGGATACAAATTTCTTCAATTGTCTCATAATTTTTTAAAATCATGATTGAAATAAGGTTCATACACTGCAATTAGTTGCCATGTCTTTTATGACTCTTTTAATCTATAGATTTTCCCTCCCTCTCTCCCTCCATCCATTCATCTCTCCTTCCCTCTCTTTCTAGTGCAATTTGTCATTGAAGACACCGAGTCGTCTGTAGTGCAGAGCTACCCTCAGTCTGGGTTGGCTAATCCGATACCCACATGTCATCTATTATGTTCTCTGTCCCCTGTATTTCCTGTAAACTGATAGTTCTGGGGGCTTGATTAGATCGATTCACGTCCAAGGGTAATTCATAGGCTGTGCTGTGTACTTCTCTAGGGAGCACATAGTTCCTGGCTGTCCCTCTTGTTTGTGATGTTAGCAGTCATTGATGATCACTGCCCAGATCCATTATTTCAGCAGCTATTGAAAACATTCTAATTTTATCGTTTCTTCTTTATCCCTCCTTTAACCATTTGGGGGCTTGAACCAGAGATGATCTTTGACTTTCTTACAATCCACACATTCATACATTGTTCACGTCTAAACTTCCTTTCCTAGACTAAATTGAGACTTTCGTTTAGCAGCCATTATGTGTTTCAACTCATTGCATATAGACATTCATGCCCATAGAGTTAGGCTGAACGGTTCATAAAACAAAAAAACCAGATAAACTGGACTTCCTTAAAATTAAGGCCTTCTGCTTTTTGAGAGGCACTGTGAAGAGCACGAAAAGAAAAGCCACAACTGGGAGAAAATATTTACAAATCACATATCTGATAAAGGACTTGTAGCCAGACTATATAAAGAATTCTCAAAACTCAATTGGAGAAAATCAAACAACTCCATCAAAAAAAAATGGGCAAAATCTGAACAGACACTATACCAAAAAAGATATACAACTGCCAAGTAAACGCATCAAAAGATGCTCAGTGTCATTAGTCACTAGGGAAATGGGAATTAAAATCACAATGAGAGAACACAATCCATCCACAAGAATGTCTGAAATTACGACTGACCACACCAAGTGTTGGTGAGGACGTGCAGCAAGTGGAACTCCCACTCAGTGCCCGAGGGAATGTAAAATGGCTCAACCACTTCGAAAACAGTTTGTCAGTTTCTTAAGAAATCAAGCATGTGACTACCATATGACCCAGCCATTCCACTCGTAGGTATCTACCCAAGAAAGATGAAAGCACATGACCCTACAAAGACTTGTACACAAATGCTCATCGTTTTGGCTGTCATAGCCCCAAATTGGAAAGAAATGGATCTGCTCTCCTCAGGAACAACATATATGGCTATTTCTGAACATTTTGGGAAATGCATATGCCTGAACCTTGGGTCCGATGCACTAACAATTTACACCATGTGTACTGGGAAAATATCTTAAATAGTTTCTCTTTCTGCACGAAGTGCATTTTTAAATTAACCACTAGGAATAGAAATTATCGTTTTTAAACATCCACTGTGTGTCAGGCACCTTGCTGAACACCTCATATCCATTACCTCTTTATTTCTTGTAATAATCTAGCAAAGTAGTTGTGTGGTTTCAATTTTACACATGAGAAAACTCATGGTCAGAGAGGTTAAGTAACTTATCTGAGGTCACCCAGCAAAAAGGGGTGAAATGTAATCTTTAATCAACACCTTCCTATACTGTTTACAGATTAAAATCCAAACAGCTTAGCAAGGCATTTAAGGCCCTGTGCAATAACAGCCCAGGCTACCCGTCCATCTTCTTTTCCCACCCTGCACTCCAGGACCATTTGTTGCATGTTTAGCAATGTCACACCTCTGTCCCCTAACTCATGTTGTTTGCATATTAAGTCCTATTAGGTCCTACTCATCCTTCAAAGCTCCATTGAAATGCTATGATTCCCCTCATCCCCAGCGAAGCTTTCTCTGATTCTTCCTACTTGTCTGACCTGGCACCTCTGTAAGGCGCTTATTTCATCCCATCTTTCATTGCAATATACAAACGCCCCGAGCTACACTTCTTCAAGGACAGGGCCTAAAATATTTACCTTATATCTCTCACTTGACCTAGGACAATGCGCTTAATTCATACGGGCTCAAGAGGGTCTGCTGAAAAACAAAAAAAGAGAAATGCTCACTTCCCTAGTGAACAACCTATTATGAACAAGTACCATTAAAATCCTCACATCCTTTAAAGGTGTAATTCTACTCCCGGGAATTCATCCTAAGCAACTAATCCAACAGAAACAAATAAAACGTCATTAGGGGCATGATTAAATCCATTATTGTACATTGTAAACTCCATACACGCTTACGTAACCATGAAAGAGCGTAATTATAAAAACTACGTAGAAATATTCGGCAGAATATTAAGTGAAAGTGGAACAAAAAACAGAGCAGATACTATAACTACGATGGTCTATAATATGTACTCATTTGATAAATACTTATTTAGTGCTTCATGGAGCTTACACTATAATGTGGGGACCACAGACAATAAGTAACAAGACTAACTAGTAAAATTCATTGTACACTTATATGGCAATAAGTGGGATGGAGAAAAATAAACCAGGCGGAGGGGATAAGGAGCATCTGTGTGTGGGTTGCTATTTGAATGAAGATGGCCAGGGAAGGCCTTCCTGAGAACAGAGATTTGAGTGAAAATCTGAAGGCAGGTAGAGACTCATCCGAAAGATACTAAGGAAAAATGAAAGGTCGTGCTAAGCTTATAGGATTAGGCAAATTCTTTTTTACATTTATGTGAAAATTTTCTTAAATATTATCTTATTGTTTTCAAAACTATTATGAAAAATTAACACTCCAAAGTTCTGTTAAGAGAAAAACGAAACAAGCAAGTTAAATGAAAAGACTCTCAGCTAACTCTGTGCCATCCACACCATTAAACATCTCCAACCTTATCTGCCACTATTCAAGAAGTTTCCAATCAAATCAAGAGAATATGCCCCGCTTTCTTCCATCTCATGCCTATTTCCAGAATTTATCTCACTTGAAATATCTACCTTCTACACACGCAAACCCTATTCCTTCTTCAAATCTCAACACCTCTAAACAGCCTCCAAAGAGTTAGTTACACAGACTACTTCAATTTCATTTCAGTTACCCTTGCCATTAAACGGAGATGAAAATGACCAGAGACCTTCTCAAAATAGGCAAAGAGACAGACAAGTTTCAGATAAGCAGTAATTTGCTGGGGTAGGTAGGAAGGATAGGAACACAGTGTGAGAACACAAAGGAGAGAGCGCTTAATTCTGCTCCAGTCGGGTAGGAGACCCAGAAAACTTCCAAGGTTGGCTTGGTCAGAAGTCATAGGAGGAATATGGAGGATATTATACAAAGAGTGAATGGCCTCAGCAAAGATAGAAGAGAGCCCTGAAAATAAAAATGCTTGGTGCTTTGCGGGCATAGGGAGTTACAGGAGATTTCAAATGCAATAATTAGGGGAATCAAGGAGCATATTGCAAAGGGCCTTGCGTGACAGGCAGCCTAAATCCCGTCGATTACAGTGGACCAATGGGGAGTCACTGAAGACTTTAAACTGGAGTTTTGCATTGATTTTCACTTTTTAATAGGTAACATGGCCTTCAAAAGGGAGAGTGGACTGGAAAGGGAAGGGACAGCAGATCAGTTAATAAACAGCAGGTGTTCCCAAAATGTTTCTTAACGGGATGAGACTGTCACAGAGGAGAGAGCAGTCCTTCAGCCTCCACCGTATCTAAAGGCAGCAGCGCCTGGTGGGCACTCAACTGTTCTCCAGTTGCTTTGAATATATGTTTTCTCTTTCAAGATCATAAAATTTAGTAAAGCGGAAAGCCGGGGAGTCAGCACCGCGCTGGAGTCAGACTGTCTGGGCTGAAATCCAAATCTGACACTTGCTGCTTGTGTGATCTTAGGCAAGTTACCTAACCTCTGTGTGCCTCAGTTTCCTACCTATCAAGTGTAATATCACGGACCCCTCAAAGGACTGTAGAGGGCTAAAAACGAGATAGTACCTCTAAAGCAACCAACACAGAGCCTGGCACACAGTAAATCCTCAATAAATATTCTATTTTTCCTGAACTGTATTTGGCATTCAGATATACACTAAGCACAGAATAGTACTCAGTACTGTGTCATTTCTTAAATCTTTCTCAGTCACATTTTTCTATAAGCCCTGGAGAAAATTTAAGGTGTTAAACTTTTTCCCATTTTTACACAGGTTAACAATACTTCACCCAATCATGGGAAAATAACTTTCGGAAGAGGCAATGCAACTTAGCAACGGAAGAGCATTTTCCCAACAGGTTTTGAAAAGCAGTCCGCGCAGAAGTCACTCTGACAGCTCTCTGAAGAGCGACAGTCACTGTGTAACCTTAACTCGGAAGTCAGACTCAAAGCCAAAAATTAAAGTACAGGGTATCCAGAACGGAGCATGGGGCCATGAAGATGCTGGACACCAGGGCCTTGCTCCGACAAGGCAGGGTTTTAACGAAACCGTCCCAGGCAAGAAGCTCTAGGGCGCACGACTGCTTTAAAACGATCGTGGGGACAGATCAGTTCAGAGAACTGTGCCCGGCGCTCGGCAGCACCAGGAAGCGCCCTCCAGGGGCGGCGGCCGAGGACGCGGGATCGGGCTCCCTCGGGCTCGGGGGCGCCCGGACCCCGGCGCGTCTTCAACAGCAGCAGCAACCAGCCGCGCCCCGGGCGCCCGGGCCGCCGCCGCCTCCCCCGCAGGTCGGCCCCGCATTCCTGCCCGGGTCTATACTTAACCTCCGGCCCGCGCCCCGGGCCGCCGCGCCACGCCGGGCACCGTATTAGGCAATGCCCCGCGAGCAGGGCCCGGCCCCCCGCCCGCCCCATCCCCCCCGCCGGCAGCCGCTCCCCCCCCACGGCCCGCGCCCACCCGCCGGCGCCCCGAGCGCGAAGGGTCGGGGGACGGCGGCGCCCGGAGGGCCCTCGGGGGCGCACGTACCCCGCGGTCATGGCGATGTTGTAGAAGGTGAGCCAGGCGGTGGCCACCCAGCCGCGGCGCCTCCGCTTGCCGGCGGCCTCCCTCTCCTCGCCGGCCTCCGAGGCGCCGCCGTTGCTGCCGTCCTCCTCGCTGGACGCCATGGTGGCCGCGGTCCCGGGGGAGGTGGCAGACAGGGGAAGGGGAGTGGGCGGGGGCCCGGCCGAGCGCGCCGCCGAAGCGCCGCCGCCCGCTGCCGCCGCCTCGGTCAGGCGCCCCATGTGCCGCGCGCAGGGGGCTCGGCGCCGCCGCCCGGACGCCGGCCGCGGGGGAGGAGCGCGCGCCCCCGGCCGCCGCCCCGCCCGCCCCCGGCCCTCGGGAGCGCGCGCCGCCCGGGGACCCGGCCGCCGGCCCGGGCGCGGGGAGCGGGGACCCGGAGCCCCGCGTGCGATTTCAAGGCGGCGGTGCGATTTCCGCTCCTACGGAAAACTGCTGGCCTCGCTAGCTGGGCGAGCCTCCCGTTAGGGACGCCCGGTGCCCCGGCCGCGTGCGCCTGGCTGGTGCAGGGAGTTGGGACAGACGGAACACACCTGGACGTGGCGTGGCCCTGCCCCGCCCAGCCTTTTCTTAAGTCGTTTCTGGATGCGGAGACAGGTGGTGGGATCTTCCCGCCAAAGACTCATTCTTAGAAACTTCTGGGGAAGAAGCGCCCTCTTCACCCTGTTTCACTTTTACAGGCCAGAGGGGCATGGGGCGAGGGGGCGGGGGGAGGACAATAGGATTATCCCCGTTGTATAGGTTCCAGTGGAGCCCGTGTTCTAAGGGCATTGATTTCAGTGCAGCGCAGAATGTTCGATGTTAGACGGAAGCTGGAGGAAAGAGGACATGACAAGATGCGAAAGGAGAAAAGTTTGAACAGATATACGCAATCTACAGATATAAAGCTAACAAAAACCCTTTCCCGCAGGAAAGGTAGTACCCCACTGTTCTCCACTCTCTTTTCTCTTTTTTCTCTTCCTCCAGATACCCATGCTTTCTCCTAATAGCTGTTTCCCGTTAAAGCACACAGTTAAGGCAGGCTCTGGAATCAGATTACTGAAATTCAAACCTCAGATTCCTGACTCCGCCAGTCTTATTAGCTGTGTGAACTTGGGCAACTAAAGCTTTCTATGCCTAAGTTTCCTCAATGGAGTTAATTTTAAAAACCTACGTTATGAGGTTGTTGTGAGATTTAAGTGAAGTCATTCGTGTAAAACACGTACAGGCCTGAAACTGAGTTACCCGAAATCAGCGTGTTAGCACTGTTCTGGCAACCCGGATCTCCCTTGATCCAGCAAAGAAATTCTGCGCAAGCCAACGAAAGCGATCTGCTTGTTAGGCCGTTGTCCTGGAACCGGAGCCTGGCCACGGCCGGGGGACGACCACTGGACGACCACAAAGACACGAGTGCGGGAGCTCCTCGGAGTATGGAGTCATCCCCATGCGGACTAGAGGGTGGGAGAGCGCACCAAAGGGGAAAAAGGAACACATGGTCCTTGCGGGTCCGGATCCGGGCTCAGGGCACCTGGCCCAGACGGCGCTACCACCTGATCCAGCGAACTTAATTTTGAGGAAGGCATTCCAGTGGCGGGGGGGGGGGGGGGGAATCCTGAGACGCGCCTGGGAAAGAAAGAATGGCTGAAAATTGTGCAGATTTGATGAAAACTATGAACCGCTGTTTTAAAAAGGCATTTAAATTGGCAAGGAAGAAGTGAAACTATTTATTTGCAAATGACATTGTACAATTAGAAAATCCAAAGGAATCCACAAAATAGCTACTAGAACCAGTTGCAGAAGACAAGGTCAGTGTAATAAAAGTTCATCGTTTTCTGCCTATGAGAAAAGAACAGCTGGAAATTGAAATTTAAGATAAAACCATATAATGTTCATTGGCATCCGAAAACATGAAATATAGAGGCATAAATTTAACAAAACGTGTCCAAGACCTGTACGCTGAAAACTGTAAATCTCTAAGAGACACTAAAGATCTAAATAAATAGCTATTCCATGTTCATGAATTGGAAGACTCGATGTTGTTAAAATATCAGTTCTCCCCAAATCCCAGCAGAATATTTTTTTTCATTTGCCAAGTAAGTAAGATTTATACAGAAATGCATATGAAAGCAAAGTGGGAGCACATCCATACCTGTTTTCAAGACTAAATGTAAAACTATGGTTTTCGAGATGGTGTGGTGGGCATAAGGATAGACACATGGATCAATGAAACAGAATAGAGTCCAGACCTATGTGTATATGGTCAACTGAGTTTCAACAAAGATGCCAGGGTAAGACTTTTCAACAAACAGTGCTGAAACAACTGGCTATCCACATTAAAAAAATGGACTTGATCCTTGCCTTACACCATAGACATATACTAATATATAGACAAATATTAACGATATGGATCATAGACCTAAACATAAGGTCTAAAATTGTAAAACCTGTAGAAGAAAACATCAGAATCTTTGTGACCTTGGGGAAGGGAAAGATTTCTCAGGTACAATGACAAAAAGAAAACATTCATCATAAAAGAAAGGAAAAGACAGAGGGAACTTCAGCAAAATGTAAAACTTCTGGGGGTCTGCCTAGTGGCACAGTGAAGTTCACACACTCTGCTTTGGCGGCACAGAATTTGCTGGTTCGGATCCCCAGCATGGACCTACACACCGTTTATTAAGCCATGCTGTGGCAGGCATCCCACATAAAGTGGAGTAAGATGGGCACAGATGTTAGCTCAGGGCCAGTCTTCCTCAGCAAAAAGAGGAAGATTGGCAGTGGATGTTAGCTCAGGGCTAATCTTCCTCAAAAAAAAAAAAAAATGTAAAACTTCTGTTCTCTCAAAGGCAGCATTAAAAAAGTGAAAAATTCACAATACGTGTATCTGAGAAGGAACTTTATCTAGCATACGTAAAGAATCCTTACAACTCAATGATAAAACAACCTGATTTTTAAAAATCAGCAAAAGATTCAAATAGACACTTCACAAAGAAGATACGCAAATAGCAATAGCACATGCAAAGGTACTGAATCTTATTAGAGAAATGCAAATTGAATCCACAGTGAGATATCATTACATCTAATATTTTAAAATGTTGGCAAGGAAGTGGAACAAGTGGCATTCTTATACGTGGCTAAAGAGAATACCGCTTTGGAAAACAATTTGGCAATTTCTTAAAAAGATCAACATATGCTTGCTTACCACATGACCCAGCAATTTCATTCCTAGGTATTTAACCAAGAGAACGAAAATAGGTCCACACAAAGAATTGGACACAAGTGTTCACTGCAGCTTTATTCATAGTAACCTCAAACTGAAAATAGTCTATGTGTCCATCAACATGCGAATGGATGAAGAATTTGTAGTATATTCATACTGGAATATTACTCAGTAGTGAAAGGAACAAACTACTGTACATGCAACATGAATGAATCTCATAAACTTTATGCTGAGCCAAAGAAGATGGACACAAAAGATTCCAGAGGGTGTGATTACATTTGTATGAAACTCTAGAAAAAGAAAATCTAATCCATAGTGACAAAAACAGAGAAGTTGTTGCCTGGGGCTGGGGATGTGTGTGGAGACAATAGACTGGAAATAGACACAGGAATTTTGGGGGGCAATGTAAATGTTCTATTTGTTGATTTAGGTGTTACACGGGTATATCCATTTGTCAAAACTCATTATACTAAACACAGAAAATGGATGCATTTCTTTGTTTAAAAATTATTACTTAGAGTTGATATTAAAATGTCATGAACAGTAAATATTTTAAGTGTAAAATTTATAATATTAGTGATATATTTCGCATAAAACCCAAATATTGTGACAGAATGGATTTGTATATTGCAGTTAATGATTTCTCTTCCAATTATTTTTTAAAAAACATTGAATGTGACATGAGGTGTAACTCATTTTTACAATGACTATGTTTTTTACAAAGTTCAATGTAACATTTTAAAAAATATCCTAGGAATAAATAACATGCCACAGACTTGTAAACCTGTCTCTTTAAAAAGTGAAGAATTTACTATACAAATAGTTGATACCAAAATGAATGAAAAATGGGGCCTGTCCTCATGAAGCTAACAGTGCTTTACGGTGGATAAGAAAATCATACAAATACGTGTCTTCCAAGATATGTTAGTAACATACCATCATTCATGTGCCAGGCACTTCAGCTGATTTAATCCACACAACACTCTTTACAGGTGGCTATTATTATGCACATTTTCCCAATAAAATAATTGAAGTGTGGAGAAGTTAAGTAACTAGCCCAAGATCACAAGCTAATAAGTAGTGATCTTGAAATTCTGCCTGACTCCAAAGTCCAAAGTCTATTGTCAACCACAGGGTAAAATAAATTTGAAAAGTGGGGGCTGGCCTGGGGACCAAGAGCTTAAGTTTGTGCACTTCACTTAGGTGGCTGGGGGTTCGCTGGTCCGGATCCTGGGCGCACCACTCATCAAGCCATGGTGTGGCAGCATCCCAGATAGAGGAACTAGAATGACCTACAACTAGGATATACACCTATGTACTGGGGCTTTGGGGAGAAAAAAAAAGAAAATAGGAAGATTGGCAACAGATGTTAGCTCAAGGCCACTCTCCTCACCTAAAAAAAAAAGAAAAGAAAAGAAAAGTGAATCGCAAAGTGCAACGGGGGTTTGAGAGCTGTCAGAAGATGTAACTTGTTTGGAGGATCCATAAAGTTTCATGCAAGAAATCCCTTTTGAATACTTGAAGAATGAGTATGATTCTGACAGATTTTGAGAGGCTATTGCAGGCTAAGGGCTCTTCATGAACATTAGGGCAGGAAAAACCAAGAAGCTTGAGGAAAAGCAAATTGTGCAGTTTAACCAAATCTTGGAAGTATTAGGAGAAAGCTAGAATAGAAACATGTTGAGAACCACTCTATTTTAAAAGGCAGCCGTGAGCTTCCGAAGACTTGTGAGGACAAAAATCATGTTAAAGGAATCTCATTCCAAAGGTTAGTTTGGCAGCAGAGTGTTGAATGGATTGCCTTGAGGGGATGCAGAAAATGAGATCAGTTGTCATCTAGGAGAGAAGTAATAAAGGACAGAGCTAGGTTGGTGGTCAGTTTCAGTGTGAAGAGGGGAATAAATAAGGAGAAATCTTGAGACACAACAGAGTCAGAATAAGGTTTTTGTTTATTTGCTGAAACGAAGGTGCCACAAGGTAGGGAAAGATGGATTTCCTCTGTGAGATGGGCTATTTTGTGAAGCAAGATCCCTGTGATTTTGGGAGAGTAAGGGATAGA